TTAAAGAACTGAGCTAAGGGGCGGGCCCCCCTTCAAGCACATTTTTAACCTCATGTCAAGACGAGAGCTGTCTGAAGGACTAACTCCACATTGGAAGTCCACCTGACCATTCCAGTTCTAGCATTCACTACTTGGGAAACCTAAAAAGAGCATTTTTTTTCCTCTTTGGCACACCCTCCAGGTAAACAGATAGTCGCAGCACTTACCTGATGAAGATGAGAAGATGACCATGAGTATGCCATAGAACAGACATACATGAGGCACTGCTGTGGTTTGGACCTTGCCTGTCCCCAAAGGGCAGGTTTGAAGCTTGGTCCCCACCCCATGGCCCTATTGGGATGAAGTTCAAGCTTTGGGAGCTGGAGCCTAGTGGGAGGAAGCGGAGTGTGGCCATGAATGGCACAGGGGGACACAGCCCTTGCTCTCTCTCATTGCGTTTGGACCACATGAGGCGAGGATGTCCCTGACGTCTCCTACTACTGCCTCATGCCCTAGGACCATGTACTCAGCCCTCATGAGTACAGCAATGGACCACCAACTCTGCCACCTCCAACTGTTGCCCCTTACCTCCAGGCACGCATTGGAAGCCATCTCCTTGGTAGCCAGGTTTGCACTGGCACGTGAAAGAGCCTGGGGTGTTATAGCAGAAGGCATCAGGATGACAACGACTAGGCTGGCATTCGTCTACATCTGCAAAACAGGCATAGGCCCAGGGTCAGTGAAATTGCTCCCAGAATTTGTGGTTTACACAGTAGTTTAGCCCACTTACTGCTATCTATGAGAACCAGCTTTTTGGAACAGTAACTCACTAAACATTAATTTTCAGACACTAAGTCCCCAACATCCACCTACGACAATGGTGGCAAACCTAAGACATGGGCGCCACAGCAGGCTTTGTGTCACAGGATGATCTAAAAGGTTTGCCATCACTGATCTAGGACATTCATAAATGTGTTTTCCTTTGGCAATAATGTCCTCATGAGAAATCAAACTTTCAGAAAGGAAAAAGAAAAGGTACATTTTCATCATTTGAGCCCTTTCACCAAAAGCGAGAGCTGCTGAAATGCCTGAACATCTAGAGAGAGATCATTAGCTGTAGACAGGAACGCTCTGGAGACCAGAGACAATTCACTCAAGAAGCATGAAGAGACAGTATCCCATATCACCTTAGAAAGTGTGGGCTTTTCAGAAACACTCCCCAGTACACAGTCAAACAGTTTTGCCAACTGAAAGACCTGAGGTACTCTGTTATCTTACCTAAGGTTTCTTGTGAGCACCTGGCAATCACCAGTGGGCTGACCCCCAGTGTGAAAAGATCCTGTGTGAACTTTGTTCAGTGACTCTGCAGCCACTTATTCAGGAAGGGAACTCTGCTGTTGGGGGAGAAAGTCAGGGCAAGCCTGCCCAGTGATGATGTGTATCTTACTAAGTAAAAGGATGGACTTACACTGCACATGTGCAGGGACTACTTGTTTTTCTTGTAAAAGACTAACAAGTCCTGGGGTTGCAGCAGAGAGCAGGTATCTAACTGTTGCCTAAACAAAAAGCCCTCAGAACAAGCCAGGGAGGGGAGGGTAAGTATCATCACTGAGAACAGCCCCCAAAGGCATCACGGTTCCAGCCATGGAGAAGCAAGAAACAGATCATGTCCCCAGTGAATCCAGGACCATACTGCTTTCTTATGCTTGGGGTGGGGTGAAGGGGTCAGGGATGCCTAGGAATGGGTGCAAGGTAGCTACTACTGAGGAGACCTTTCCAAGTGACACAGAGAGAAAACTCAGGGTGACTACATACCTTGGCAGGCTCGGCCATCCCCAGAAAAGCCTGGCAGACAGGAGCAGGTGTAGGAGGAACCTCCCATGTAGATACAGGTGGCCCGCTGGGGGATGTCACAATCATGGAGGCCAGTGGCACAGTAGTCAATGGGGCGCTGGTCCACGATAGCTTCAGAACAAAAGGTCAAAGTACACTGTTGAGGAAAGTCCTTGGGCAGGCCGGGGCCAGCCCAGCTCCCTCACTCCATCAGTTTCACGCAGTGGGCTTGATGAGGGACCTCCAGGGTGCTCCCTACTCCCTGGTAGGTTCAGGTCTTATTTCTTCCCCTGGGTCAGGCCTTTGACACCTTGGCTAGTCATTCCATTCATTCAACCTGCCTTTCCCCTCAGCTGACTCCAGCCTGTCACTACTCACAAGCCTTATCCTCTGGAAATGGAGGCAGGACATCTGCAGAGGCTACACTTCCCATAGCACCGTGGTCATGGAAGCTTCTGGAGCCAAGAATCTGAAACCACATGGTATCTGTGACTCTAGCCCACCTTCACTGCCAATGCCAAAACCAATGTCACTTACTTCTCAACAAGGTAAAAGAAGGTTCTCCAGCACTATGAGGTAGGTAGGTAATAGGACTGTGGGCCTTTGGGGTGGGTGGCCCTGGGTTTGTACCTGGTCTGCATGAGCTGAGACTTGGATTCACTGTTTACTGCTCAGGGACTTAGGTCCCTCCTCTGTAGAGCAGCAAGGATGACATCTGGCACCAAGGAAGCCAGCAGAGGGGACACAGCCCTGACGACAGCCTCAGGAAAAGTGGGTGAGCAAGCAGGTGAGAGTCAAGAGCTGCCAGTGGTGCCCTCCTCATGCTGCTGCCAGTCTGGCCAAGAGCAGGGTGGTTTCCAGGGAGGCTGATTCTGCTACTCTGGGGTTCCTATGATCATTTTCCTTCTGGTTTTCTGCAAGCACCAAGACCCAGGACAGTTTACCCCCTGCCACACAAAAACACAACTCTTTTCTTCCTCCCAGGAAGACCTTGGATCTGGATTATTCAATGGACAGGAATCATCTCTCCTTGAGGAATCTTCCCCAGGCTGACTTTTGATTTACCCTGCCTTAAAGCACAGAGGAGGGGAAGGGTGAAGGAGAAGGGAAAAGGAAAGGAAGGGAAAACAAGGGAAGGGACAGAGAAAGAATTTGGGACACTCATAAGTAAAGAGGAGACTCTTCAAAGGTCTGTGCCAAGTGACAGGCAGCCGAGGATTAGGGTTTGGACGCCCGGCCTGTGCCCTTAGCACTTTAGACTCCCAAAGCCCAGAGTGCTCACTAATTCTTGGGACAGGCACCATCAAACTAAATCTGATCACAAGGTGGCCAGATGTGACGTTGCTGCCGGTGGTACAAAACACCCCCACCTGAAAACAGCAATCCAGAATCTGCCTAACCAGCCTGAGCACAATCATCCCATTTGCTTGGGCTCCTCATCTCTCTCTTCCTCTCCCCAACATCAAATGTTCCCTTCTGGAAATAGAATATGTTCCCTTCTACAGGGTCCTCCTTCCTCCCAGCTCCTTCAGCTACCACAATGTGGCAGGGGAGACTCGAAGGATTGAAACCAAAAGGCAAGGAAGACAAATTCCCACCGTAGCCGTGACACCCAGGAAATGAACCCCACTCCACTCTCCCCGCTCGCTTCCACCAAACATTTATGCCACTTTGCAGTTCATCAGGAATCAGTGGACCTTAATACGAATGTGTGCAGCTCCAACTGTTGCCTCCCAGTCACCATTTTCACATATGTATTTCTAGAATCTTCAAACCGTTGATAAGAGCAATTCATAACGTAATCTTTTAAGTTGGATCTGTCTTTAGTAAGACAATTTCTTATACCGAATGACTTTATTTTTACCAAAGCTTTCAAAGTTCACTTTATGACTCTAAACAGTATAGCTGCTCAGTTCTCATTTTTTAAGTAAATAGAGCATTCTAAGCTAATGTCCGGGTATAAGCTAGAGAAAAAGTGTTTCCTAAGGGTTCAGTAGCTGCCTCCAATTCTCACAGGAACAGAGCATCCAGACGGCCTGGCCGACTTTATTTCTGCAGAGGAGCCACTGGAGCCTGGGAGAGTTAGTGACCGACAGCAGAGAGGTGAAGCCGCAGCTATAGCTGCCCAGAAAGTAGGCTGATAGTGCAGATGGGACACCAATACTCACAACCCGGCCCTGCCCCCAATCCTCACTGGGCAGAGTGGAAGTTCCCTGCCCCTTCAGTAATAGGGAGAATACAAGGGCAAATGCAGGGGAATGTCTTGGGAAAGAAAAAAATTGAGTTGAAAATAGGAATCCAGAGATTGTTAGGTCAAGGTTCTACTTTCTGATGCATTCATTTCTGAAGAAAGCCCAGGAGAAGAACCACATCCTGACCTGGGATGGTGACATGGTTCCTGGGAGAAACATGCAGGCAAGTTGGGGCTTAGAAGTGAGGCACAGAGGAACAGGCAGGAGATGAAGAAGAAGAGGGACAAACAGCAAAAGAAGCCACTTACAGGAGGAGCACAGGGCAGGGCACACAATTCTCAGGAGACTGAGTCACCGGCCCCTGGGTACCATAAATTCTCAAGCAAAACCACAGTGAATCATTCAGATAGTTTCCCTAACAATATGACTGGCAAGAGGGGAGCACGAGTGGCTTCGTGCTCAGCAGCCTTCTGGCTATGCCTAGCTCTGCTGTGCTGTGCACTGCGAAAAGGCCCAAGCTCACTCTGCGGCACACATGAGGCCAAGGGGCACAGGCCAGTGTCCACTCAGAAGAGCACCTGTGTCAGGAGACAGCAAGTGACTTACAGGCCAACTGAGGCTCATCTTTCCTTCACAAAAATAGGTTTAATTCATGTCACTGAACTGTAAGAGTCTGCATCCAGAGAGGATGAGAAAGTCACCAGTGTCCTGCCTGGGCCTCAGCCCCTCACACTGAGTAAGACAAACCAGCCTCCTCACTGCCTGGGCTCTTTGTCACATCCCCCACTACAGCCTAGAGAGAAACTTCCCAGCCCAGGTTTTCAACCGAGGATACTGTTTGGGCAGGGAATTCTGAGAAACGACTGAAGCTGATTAAAGGGGCAGAGATCTGAGCAGGAGGGAACTTTCCAGGGCCACTAGCAGTGAGAAAATTGAGACTGTAAGCCCAACCCTGCAGAGACCCAGGGACCACCTCCTCCCCACTGGTTTTCACCCTTGTTTTTCTACAATGGAATCCATTATTCAAACATCTTGCTCTTAATGTGGTTCATAGAGAAATGAAAGGCTGGGGATCAGAAGAGGGGAGAATGGCCTGCCCATGACCTCTCTGTGTCTCTATAGGCAGCATCTGAGGCACTGAGGGCTCCAAAGGGCCCAAGAAACCAATGATCGCATCCAAACCACACATTTTACAGAAAAGGAATTGAGGCCTGGGAGCTTGAGTGTCTTTGGGAGCAGACATTTGCATGACGTTAGGTCCATACTCTGCCCTGCCCCTCCAGTGCAGGTGGCCACCAGGAACAATCAGACCCAGAAACCCAAGGTCAGCACGCCTCCTACATGCATGTCCCAGACTGGTCTCAGCAACTCTGCACCCAGTCGGCACAAAATCCACCACCCACGTTTGAGCCACCACGGGATGGAAATGACTTTGGAATCTCCCGCACCTCCAAAATTAGAGGAGAAGGTCAGGTCAAATACGGAGAAACTGATGGTCTCTACTCAGAGGAAAAATAACTTTAGCAGAGTGGTAGAAAACCTCTACTCTGCAGAGGGAATTGGCCTCCTGAGCTCACAGATGTTTGGGCCACACTCAGAACATGAGAACTGCCTGTTCCTTCCCACCCTGAGGACACCACCTCACCCTGGGACTTTCTGGCTCCTCATGTGAGCTCAGAGGCAGAGTGAAGGGAAAGCATTCAAGGCTCAGCAAACAGCCAGGAAGGGCAAGGGGACACTGGTTGAAACAGCACAGAGGACACTGCTTAATCAGGCACACATGTTGAGCCCAGATGGCTTTCAGCTGGTTCCCCTCCAGGCCTGAAGTCTCCAAGAATCTCTTAACTCTAAATTCTTGGAACCAATGTCGATACGCAGCAGTAAAAGAAAAGGTAGAATTAACAACCTGGCTCTTTGAGGTTGGCCCATAATAACCATCACCAGAATAATCAACTAAGAGCTTCATTATCCTAATTAACACTGCAGTATTAAATTACTTTAGTAAGACTAAGAAACTATGTTTAGAGTGGCTGCAAAGGGAACTTTAGATGGGACTTAAGTAGCTTTCAGACTAAAACAGCATAAAAGTCCCTGGAAGGTGGCACTTTAATGATTTTCAAGGCTAAACTATTACAATGGAGAACTGAGACTCACACCTTTATAGCCATAGAGAAAATGATTAAAAATTTATTGAGGGCCGGGGATATGGCTCAGTAGAATAAGCGCTTCCCTGGCAAACGCAAGGGTCTGAGTTCAATCCCTGGTTCTGCCAAAAAAAAAAAAAAAAAGTTTATTGAAAGTGCTATGGTGGTGGTGGTGGTAGTGTTTGGGTGGCACCTGCCTATAACCCCAGTGCTCTGGGAAGCTGAGGCAGGAAGAGGATTCCATATTTGAACTTAAATTGAAGAATTCAGGGACACAGTGAGATCTTGTCTTAAAATATAAAACTTTGTAAATGGGCTGAGGATGTAGCACAACGCAAGGGCTCTGGGTTCAATCTAGCATCACACACACACTTAAAAAGAAGCAAATGCAAGACAAAACTTACAATGAGAGCCAGTGAGATAGCTCAGCAGACTAAGTGCCTGCTTAGGCAAGCACAGGGACCAAGATTCGATCCTTGGCACCACATACCATGCCCCCAGGTGTGCTGAGCTAGCCACCGAGACCCACTGGTGTGCATGCCTGTAATCCCAGTGCTGGGGAGGCTAAAAACAAGAGGATCACTATGAATCCAAGCTGCGCAGTGAGACTATGTAACAAATACATTAAAAAAAGGGGGGTGGCAGGGAGATGGCTCAGTGGAATAAGCACTTCCCTGGCAAGCGCAAGGGCCTGAGTTCAATCCCTGGTTCTGCACCGCAAAAAAAAAAAAAAAAAAAAAAAAAACTCCAACTTACAAATGAGGCGATGGGGGCTGGGGAGATGGCTCAGTAGAGTAAGCGCTTGCCTGGCAAGCACAAGAGCCTGAGAGTTCAATCCCTGGTTCCGGGAAAAAAAAAAAAAAGAGGCAATAATGTTGCCAGTGTAAAGAACATTGCTTCCCCCTTACAGCCCTGTCTAGGTAGGCGGGGGCAGGTTAGGTCTCATTTGCTTTTGCAAACTGTCCTTTCCTAGGACAGAACACAATTCCTTTTGGCCAGGATTATCACACCAGATAGCCAGCACACAGTGTGAACACATTTTGAAGTGCCACCCAGCGAACTTACCCACACATTTGCCGTCATCTGAGAAGCGGTAGCCCTCAACGCACTCGCAGCGGAAGGTGCCGGGCTGGTTGTTGCAGATCGCCTGGCTGCCGCACACGGAGGGCTGCTCTGAGCACTCGTCGATGTCTGCAGGAAATTGAGAACTCACACTCTGTTTAACTTCTTCAGAGATGCCAGAGTGTAACAAAATAGAAAGCGCTTTCCCCTGAGAATGGATCCGTATTAAGATACCTTTTTCTCTATCCCCAAAGTAGTGTGAAATAAAACATTTATTTTGCCATGCATAACTTTAGAGAGTAACTCCCCAGACCCCTTCCTTCCCTAAGGAATGTGGTCTTCTCCCACTTCTCCCAGAATGAGTGGCTCAGGCTGGGTTGTCCCGACGAGCCCCTCACACCAATGGGCAAAGACATACCTGGAGGTCACAGAGACAAGAGTCGGCCTCTGGATGAGGGCCCTAAATGACAGGCTACTTATTTACATGTTTTTAATTTTTTAGGTATTTGGTACAGGGTATCACTACACAGCTTGGACTCTTGTGATCCTCCTGTTTTCAGCCTCTGCAATGCTGGGATTACAGGTGTGCACCACCACACCCAGTCTCAGTGGCTAGTTCAGCGCACCCATGGGGCAGGCTGGGCGTGGCATGTGGTACTGGCGATCAAACTCCGCTCTTTGTGCTTGCCTAAGCAGGTGCTTAGTCCACTGAGCTATCTCACCAGCCCCGACAGGCTATTTAAAGACATTATGCTCAAACTATGACCTTTCCTTAGGCATGGTGGCGCAGGCCTAAGCCCAGCTCTCTGAGGTACAGGCAGACAGATAGCAAGTTCAAGGCCAGCCTGTGCAATTTAGTGACTTAGCAAGACCCTGTCACAAAATAAAAAATGTTTCAAAAGAGCTGGGAATGTAATTCAGTGTGGGCTTTGGGTTCAATCCCAACACCCAAACAAAGCAAAGCAAAGCAAAGCAAAACAAAACAAAACCCTTCCCTAGTTACAATCCTATATAAAAGTTTGACAACTTAAAGCCTAAGTGTAGATTTCTTTTTTTTTCTTCAGGAACTGGGAATTGAACTCAGGCCCTTGCGCTTTCCAGGGAAGCATTTATTCTACTGAGCCATCTCCCTGGCCCTTAAGTGTAGATTTCTGAATATTATCTAAAGCTACATAGACTAAAACAAAATTCATTAACTCATAAGATGCTAAATGAAGTAGTGGAGTAATGTGCTAAAAATTGACAATACTGCAGCCATCACTATGGTGTAATGTAGATTTTCAAACATGTGCTCTGGGTTTGAACAGAGCTAGGTTCAAACCCTGCACACTTTAGTTAGTAAGTTGTGTGGTCTTAGGCAAATGACCAAACTACTCAGCCTCAGTTTCCCCACTGGTAAATAAGCATAGTTATACCCCTCCTCAGAATTCTTCTGAGGATTACAGTGAAGAAAGGCTTAGCATGGTTGACATGTAGATATTCTTCTCATTAGTAGGAATTCCTTCAAAACCCTCAGCCCTAATATGTTAAGCAGGGATGGGAACACAGTCCTCACAAAACCACCAGGTTTTGAGAGCCAGCCTGTGGCTACCACTAGTGAAGAAACTGAGCTAACCTCTCCTTAACCTGGTTCCAGTCCATTGATGGGTTGCAGTGAAAGTGAGGTCCTCCTCACACTCAGTGTGTACACAGCGCCGCCCAAGACGTGTGTGAAGATTCCACGTTAGCTGAGAGCATTCAGCTCTCGCCCTCCTACGCCCTCTCCCCTGCACTCTAAGATGACTTTCACACTTGGCAGACAGTCCCTGGTGTCCCCTCCAATGGCCAGCCTAGCCAGGCCCTTTAGTACTGACGCAATTGTCTCTCTGGCTTCTTGGACAACACGACATAAGCCAAGCATTCTTGCTACATCAGCCCACAGTTTGTCCTATGCCCAGGCAAAACCCAAACTAAGTGTTATTCAATCTTTTGGTGTGTGCATGTATGTATATGTGTACCTGGGTGAACATGACGTGTTTGACATAGGCTCTCAGACACAGGACTGGGCCAGGCCTAGTTTGAGGGCTCCAGGAGTAGAGCTGGGGATAAGGACAAGGCTGTGCATCAGCTACTGTTCCACCTACGTGGAAGCATCCCCAGCCTGCTGCCTCTGCCCTGCTCTCTTGGAGGATTCTCCCACAGATGGCCTGTGTATGGCTGCGGGGCCAAGTATTTAGACCAAAAGCCAGAGATCAGAGCCACAGTATTCAATTAAGAGGACAGAGCAAAACTACGAAGGCAAGTTTTCCAAGTTCTCCTCTTCCCAGGAACACTTACACAGAGGGAACCTGTGTTCTTTGTTTTGTTTTGTTTTCTGTGGTACCAGGGATCGAATTCTAGACCTTGTGCTTGCCAGGCAGGTGCTTACGCCACCAAGCTATAATATAAACCAAGCCTCAAACCTGTGTTTTGTGAAAAAGCTTCTGAAGCATCAGGCTCTTCTCCAGCCTGAAGTTCCTCCAAAACCACAGACAAGTAGGATCTCAGGAGAAGGGATGGGCCCCAAGCAAGGCCCCCAGTGCCACACAAGTTTATACATATGAGGTCAGGCTGGTGACACCCAGGTCTTGCTAGAAAGTCCCAACAATTTCCCTGCTAACATCTGGTTCTTGCAGGTTGGGAATTTCTCCTTGTATATCATGTAAATCTCTTCTCAAAATTGAAGCCAGGACCTGACCTCCTTTAATGGAAATAGTGACCTGGTAACTAGGTAACTATGACAACGGGTCTCTTGTAAGCATGTTAGTATCTGTTTAAAGATCATTATTCTTATTACTCAACATCTGTCTAGCCTCTCAGGAAGGAGATTTCTTTTGCATAATCATTCTCTAGCCCAACAGGAAATGCTATTGGATAACATTCAATAGAAAGAAGTTTTTATTTCTTAGACAAAATCTTGCTATGTAGCCCAGGCTGGCCTTAAACCCATGGCAATCCTGCTGCCTCAGCCATTGAGTGCTGGGGTTAGGTGTGCGCCAATGTGCTCGACTAAAATTATCATTTTGAGTCTTTCCAGAATGGCTACTTTTCACAAATTTTCAACAAATGGGTTCCTCTAATGTGTCCCTTTTATAAAGGTCAGGCTCTGTGAAGAGTCTCACTGATTTGTGAAATGCCTTCCAAAGACTCCCAAATTGTTTGATGAAAGG